GAGTGAGTGCCACTACCATCATTACCCTTGGTTCCAACATCTATGCAAAAATGTATGTCACCATAATAACCAAGACCTCCAGGCTCAGTAGGCTAAAGGGCTGCTGTTAGTACCAGTCTGATCCAAAGTAGCATGTTTAATCCCTGTTCCAACCAGAACAGATTTGAGCTACCTCCTTTCACTACCCATACTGGCATTGTGGATCAACTTGCTTTCAGAAGAGAACTGAATAAGTAGTGGTCTCACGTAATAGCTCAACTGTTCAGGGTGTTATCCAACACAGGAGGTTTTCGCATTGGTTGCTCAGTGATTGAAGAGCTCGGACTCCAACCGTCTGTTTCCGAGGGTGTAGTTCAAACTAACAGTAAAGGAATTGAAGCTCAACATGTTTTGAGAGGGTTGGCTGTTACAGATAACTAGTTTAGCAGCTGCCATGTGTTTTTCAGAAAAAAAATCTGAAAAATTATGCAGATTAACATTGTTTCTTTTTGGCAAGACAAACTTTAATTTACAATACACAGTTGGGAGATTCATTCATCCCAAATGGCTTTTGAGCTACTACCTCAAATGGAGTAACTTGCAAGGCCATTTCAAAAAGCAGTTGAGTGTCAATCAACCATAACATTCTCTGGCATACATGCGACTCTTAGCAGATTTCCTTCCCTAAACATTGAGTAAATCAGAAGGTCCTACATTAATACTGTAGTTACCAGGTACTTAGTCCAGATTTAATTATTTACCTGAATTTAAGTTAACCTCTTGTGGGTTTTGAGCTCATGTTAATTTAAGATTGATTGCTTGACATTGTACTTTGATTATTTTTAAACAGAAGTTAGCAAGACTGGATCAATCCAATTTGAGAAACAGAAAAGGAGAAATCAAACAACTTCATAAACTGGAAATCTCCACTTTCGATCAGTGTTTAGCTAACACTCCTCAGGACTACACTGACAATGGGAAACCATTCACTTCTTGTAGCCCTTCACAAGCAGATGAAGATTCAGAAACTACAATTCTGACACACGGTATGAAGCATTCAGACACGGATCTTTCTGGCAATAGTGACCAGGAATCAGGCGTTGCTGACTTGAACTGCAGATCACCAAATGGTGGAGACTTCCTGTCTAGTGAAGACAACAACAAAAATCTGTCAGTATACTCTGAAGAACTTGCCTTTGCTGTTGCATGAGAATCTAGTGATACTTGCTAATAACTCACACATGGGAACAAATTTTATATTAAATTATGTACTGGTAAATAAGGGATTGCAGGTTTTTGGTATTGTTTTAAATTTGTAAATCAAGATTATCATTCAGAAGGTTCATTTACTGTTGGAGTTATCTAGAGAGTTGCAAGCAGGAGTGAGAGTCTGAGCTGACCACCCTGGAGTCAGGCAACTTATCCAACGTGTAACCAATTTCTTTGACATGAGCAGTACAAAAGTTGCAACTGATGTGAAATGAATCAGCAGATAGAAGGATCTGAGCAGAGAGTCTACAGTGACAAGAAAATAGCAGTTTTAAAAAAACTCATCTAAAGGGAGCGGTTAGGATCTCCTTTTTAATTATAACTGGATCAATATTTGAGGGTACATCCCTGGATTTTACATGCTACAATTGCTTGACAGGAATTAAATGAATTGTATTTGAACACAATGTACTACTTTGAGAAATTTAAATTACTGTATTTGAAAGCAAACCTTATGTACTTACATTTGGATTTTCATATCTAAAGAAAAATCTTTGAAATTGATTTATCACAAATGTCTGCAAAGAAAATTCAGATAAATGTCAAAATATGAATATGTAGAGTCAAAAACATGATGCCCTCTAAGTGTACCTTTCCTTTGAAAAATAAATTTATTCTATTTAATTCTGAAAGGAGTAGGTAATAAGAAATTGAATTGTACTTAATGTAATTGCTTTGGTGTACCCCATTCTAATTATTTAAGAAATGACTAGCCTCAGACTCATGTCCGTACAAAGGCCAAGCAAAGATCAAGTAGTCTAAACAATCATGCATGAAACTGCAATACAATGGATAAGTATTCCAAATGAACTTTCTTTTCAAAGTTATCCACTTTTAATGTCCAGAAAAATGCTATTTTTCTCAACTTGAACCAAGATGGTTGTAGATGTTTTCATTACTCAAAAGCAGCTTTGTTTTGAAGAGCCCACTCTGCAAATCCACCCAGTTTCAACTTTAAACACTGCCCTTTTTTAAAAACGTACCTGTAACCCTTGAATGCATGACTCCATGTCCCACATTAGAAAACTCGACATGTGCAGACCATTACACAATGAGTTTGAGATTTTATTCCCTCTTATGAAAAGAATATATGCTATTAAATATTTGCTATTTATTTCCTGACAATCCTGTGATATCTTAACATGTTATCAATAGAAGAATCACATTGTAACATCTTGATATGGTTAATTAAATACAAAAATGTGATGTAGCTTGTGGTATTTCCATAATTAGTGATTTTTAAAGAGTATGTAGACATTTACTTTGTAAAACTTCTGAAGTAATGATTTTTCATCATCTAGTTTTAAGTTATATAAATTATCTCAGCATGATCTTGAGACTGCTTGTTGCAACATACCAATGGAGTGCCACAGCAATGTTGAATTCTTAAACTGAAAATTCAGCTCAATAAATTTCACCAACAATAAAACTAGTTGAAAGTGTTTTATGAAGATTAAAGCAACACAGTGCAATTATCAGTACTATTTACAGATTAATAGTATGTTTAATACAGGAATCCACAGTTATTACTTACAAATGTAACAGTATTTACCAAGAATATTGAAATCATACAGGAACAAATTTAGGTAAATTTTGGTTATTTTGAGCTATATTTTAATATGGGAAACCAATTTTACAAAAACATCATTTCAAAAAGGTCATCCAAATAACATTCACTAAATGTATTGATACATCTGTAATTTTCATTTTGCAGTTGAATGCATTCCATCTTGTCCAGAACATGCATTTCAGCTCAAAAACTTAACTGCTGAGAGAAAACAACAGCATTAGCAATGGTGGCATGGTCCAAGCGTGTATTATTTTATCTTCAATGGATAGACCCAAAATGATTTCTTACGCATACAGAAGTGCCCTCTGAAACAGAAAAAACACAAACATTGGACCCAGAGTTACTGTAACCAGCAAACATGACAAACTTGCCTTTGGGTGTCTAGCACCAAGGTAGTACCATATATATATTCATACAGAACAGTACAGCACAGGAACAGTCCCTTCAACCCATCATGTCTTTACTGACCACGATGCCATTCTAAACAAAGCACATTTGCCTGCATGTCATCTGTATTTATCTATTCTGTGTCTCCAAGTGTCTGTCCAAATGGCCCTTAAGTGTTGCTGTCATTATCTGCTTCTACCACCACACCTGGCAGTGTGTCCACGCACCAACCATCCTCTATTTAAAAAAAAACTTGCCCCTTCTTGTCTTAAATGTATGTGCCTAGTATTTGTCATTTCCATCCTGGGAAAAGGACTGCGAGTACCCACCCTATCCATGCCTTTCAATTTTATATACTTTATCATGTCAACCCTCAGCCTCTGATGCTCTAGTAAAGACTCCTTAATGAGACAGAAATGTTTCTAATTAGCAGAGTCTGATCTAGGAAGTATTACATTAAAATATTAAATTTAATCCTAATTCACGTGCAGAAAATAAAATAGAAAGAAAAACATCACAACGGTCCCGATTTTCTATCAATGGCAAAGTGTCAATCTTCTGCACCGACTGAATCAAAAAAACTCCATATCTACCTTGTATGTAGACTGTAGCAAGAACTTGCCCTTATGAAGGGATCCTGAGACAAATACATCTAATACCAAACAGTGAGGCATAATCTTGGTGAATCCATGTCCCTCAAGGTCAAACAAACACAATCTGTCATTGTTCAGGGTGGCATTTTATAGTAATTTCAAGCAGTTTTGAACTTTAAAAAAATTAAATACTTAGTCACTAATTGCAGAAAACCTTTTAAAAATTATGATAAATATTTAAATACTATTAGAAAAAGAGGTCAACAAAGAGGAAGCTATCCTAGCTATTAGCTTATTGCAGCACACTGAAAAGGAGATGTCATTTCCCAGCACGAGAATCATTATTGATACTTCCATTGTACAGCTGAGTTTGGGGGTGGCAAGGGGTTACAGAGACAGAATCAGAGGAAACTGTCTTCCTGAATGATGGCTTATGTCGAAGCTTGAGTCCCAACTTTCTGTATGTTAACATGCAAATTGAGCACCTTGACCTTCTTGGAAGAGGGATCTATGGCATAAGGGGGAATCAATTTAAGAAGAATTGGGGGGCGTGGTGCAGAATCAAAATACCAGAAGTAGGCCATTTAGTAAGTCATTCTTGACTGACATTTAGTTAAATCACAGCTGATCTTTTTCTCACCTCTCTAAAGTTGCCTTTGCTCCATGAGCTCTTCAGTATCTTTACTCAAGAAAGATCCAATAATGTTAATGCCAAACAATGGAATTGATCCATATTTGCACTCTTTACGGGTACAGATTTAGATTTTCACTAACCTGAGCAAACGTTTACTTCTAAATGGCTTTTGCTGTAATTCTTAAATGTTAAGCCCCTTGTTCTGAATTCTAAATAGTTTCAGGGTCTCTGGTGCTGTGAGGCAGCAGTGCTAATAACCACTGTGCCACCATGATAGCTACAGAACAAACAATGGTAAATTTTAAATTTCAATTGTTTTTGATAATGTTTTACGTTACCAGCACACAAACTAACTACTGATCTGGTAACCATCAACTCCACTTCCAGGATTTTCCCTTATTGATTAAAAATCCGTGTATCTCAGCCTAATATATATTTAATGACTTAGCCTCTATAGACCTCTGTCGTTAAAAAAAAAAATCCATCAATTCACTACCCTCAAGAAATTCTTTGTCATCTGTCTGAAAATGGCAACCTCTCATTCTATGATTATGCCCCATGAAGCTAGACTTTCCCATAAAAGGGAAACAACCTTTCTGCATCCATCCTGTCAAGTACCATAAGAATCTGATATATTTCAATAAGATCACCTTTCATTCTTCTAAACTCCAATTTGTACAGGCACAACATACTCAACTCTCTTCATAAGACACTAAACACAAACAAGCTTGTGAACCTTCTCTGGACTGCCTCCCTAGAAAAGGGGACCAAAATGCTCCACAGCATTCCAACTGTAGTCTGATTAGTGTTTTGTATGGTTTTAGCAAGACCCCCTATTTTTATAGACCATTCTGGTTGAAATAAAAGGCCAACATTCCATTTACCATCCATAATACCCGAATTTCTACACTAGTGTTTTGTGATTTATGCATGAAGACTCCCGAATCCCTGTATGCTGCAGGTTTTTGTAGTCTTCCTATATTTTTTCAGTTAAATTTATAACATCACATTTCCCCTCATAATAGTCCACCTGCCAAGCTTTTGCCCACTTCCTTAACCTATCTACATCCCTCTACAGATTGTGTCTTAGCCTCATCACTTGCCTTCCGACCTATTTTTGTCAGATTTGCAACTTGGCTATGCAATCCATTTAGTTTTCCTCACCAAGTTATTCACATATCTTGTAAATAATTGTGGCCCCAGCAATGATCCCTTGGGCATTCCACGGTTAAAAAGTTGCCCTCCTAAAATTGACCCCTTTATCCTAACTTTGTTTGACTCACAATTACCCAACCAATCCTCTATCAATGCTAATATACCTTCAATACCATAGGGTCTTAAGTAGTCTAACGTAAAACCTCATCAAATGCCTATTGTAACTGCAAATATATTACATCCAGTACTTCCCCTTTCTCTATTCTGCTTTTTACCGTCGCAAAGAATAAAAAAAAAATTGTTCAATATGATTTCCTTTTATGAAGCCATGTGGATTCTGCGAATCATATTATGCATTTTTAATTGTTGTGCTATCACATCCTTTATAATAGGTTGAAATATTTTCCTAACAACAGTTGTTAAGCTAACTAGCCTCATGTTAACGGTTTTGTCTCCATCCTGTTTTGAATAAGCTTGTTACATTGGCAGTTTTTCAATCCACTGGAACTTTTCCAGAATCTGAGGATTCTTGGAAGATTACTACCAATCCATCCATTATCATTTCAGCTACTTCCTTAACATTTTAGGATGCATCCCATCAGGTCCAGGTCTTCAACTTGATTTGTTTTCCCAGCACTTTTTCTCTAGTGATAGTGATTATATTTGTTTTCTTTCATCCTTTTACCTATTGGTCACTGAGAGGATGTCTATGTAATTAGGGAATTAAACAAGAATTTGGAAATATTTGAAAAATTAGGTGGTGGTCAGAATGTACAAATCTTTTCCAAAAATCATCTAAAATGTCTAAGTCCATCTTTTAAAACAAAAATACAGTTATTTCAAAAATAACAACAAAATACTATGGGTAAAGAATAGCAGAATGGGACTGAACAGAATACATGGAGAGGAACTTTATAGACTGAAGTCTAAAGCCCTATTTGTCTTGAAGCTTCAGTAGGTGAGCATTTAGGGGATAGTGATGATAACTAAGTTCCAAAGTCATTATGGAAAGGGATAAGGATAGTGCAGAAGTTAAGTATTGAAACTGGGGAAGGCCAATTTTAGTATCATTAGACAGGATCTGGCAAACTGACTAAGTCACAGCTAAGTCTACATATCGAAAGTGGGAATCTTTTAAAAATAATATGTTGAGAATTCAGGGCCAGCATGTTCCTCCAAGAGGGAAGGGCAAGGGGAGCGCGTCTAGGGAACCCTGAATGTCATGGAATATTGAGAATACGATACAGAAAAACAAGGAAGTATTTATTAGGTACAGCACAATAAAAAAAAACAAGGGAGGCTCTTCAAAAAGTATAGTGCGTTGGGTCGTGTTTAAAGAACTTAGGAAAGCCAAGAGGGGCCACAAAATATCTTTGGCAGGTAGGATTATGGAAAGCCCCAAGGCATTTTATAGATATAAGACGAAGAGGATCACCAGGGAAGAGAGACCAATGGGGCATCTGTCCGTGGAGCCAAAGGACATGGGTGAGGTCTTAAATGTATACTTCTCATCTGTATTTCAGTTGGGATGGGTGAGGTTCTAGACAATGTTAAGATTAATAAGGAGGAGATGGTTTTAGATATTTAGGTGGGCATATTGGTACATAAATCCCCAGGGCCTGATGAGATGCATTGGGAGGCAAGAAAGGAGACTGCTGGGGCCTCGGCAGAGATATTTAATACTTCACTGCCACAGGACAAGTGCCAGATGACTGGAGGTTAACTAATGTGGTTCCTTTGTTCAAGAAGGGCAGCAGGATAGTTAGCAGGACCAGTTCGTCTGACATCAGTGGTAGGGAAATTATTGGAAAAAATTCTGAACGTGAGGATTAATCAACACTTGAAAAGAGACGGATTGATCAGGAATTATTAGTATAGTTTTTTTTTTAGAAAACAGGGCAATCCTGTCTGACCAATTTAACTAGGTTTTTTGGAAAAGGGACTTAATGTATTGAAGAAGAAAATGCAGTTGATGTGGTTTACATGGACTTCAGTAAGGCCTTTGACAGTGTCCCACACAGAAGGCTGGTCCAAAAGCAAGAGCACGTGGGATTCAAGGCAACTTGGCAATCTGGATCCAAAATGGGCTTACAAATAGGAGGGAAAATGTGAAAATGGAGGATGTTTTTGAGATCAAAAGCCAGTGACTACTGGAGTGCCACGATCAGTGCTGGAACCCTTGCTGTTTATTACGTACAATGATTTGTATGTGAATGTAGAAAGTATTATTAGTAAGTTTGCAGACAACACAAAATTTCATGGTATCGTTGATAGTGAAGATGGTGGTCTCAGCCTACAGTCTGATAAATTGAGCAGAGCAATGGCAAATGGAATTTAATCCTGATAAGTGAGGTGATGCATTTTGGGAGGTCTAATAATGGATGGATATACACAATGAATGTAAGTCCCTGGACAGTCCTTTGATGTACAAGTCCATGGATCACTAAAAGCGTCAGCAAAGGTAGACAGGATGGTAAAGGCAGCGCATGAAATACTAGCCTTCTTTAGTTGGATTATAGAATATAGGAACAAGGAAGTCCTGTTTAGGCCACAGATGAAATACTGTGTGCAGTTCTGGTCACCACACTAACGGAATGACATGATTACACTGGAGAGGGTGCAGAGGAGATTTAAGTCTCAGGTATGAGAAGACACTGGATAGACTAGGTTAGGGTTCCTTGGAGCAGATCAGGCTGATGGGGGAACTGATTAAGCTACAAAAAATTATGACAGGCTTAGATAAGGTAGATCGTGAGAATCTTTTCCCATGTCAGATGTTTCTAAAACCAGAAGGCACAAGCTTAAGATGAGGAGCAAGTGGTTTAAAGGAGATTGGAGAAAACCCAGAGGGTGGTAGAAATATGCAACCCACTGCCTGAGAGGGTGGAGGAGGTAGGAACTTTGGTAACATTTAAGTAGTATCTGAAGGAGCACTTAAAATGCCATGGCATAGTTGGCTATGGACCAAGTGCAAGTAAATGGGATTAGTATAATTTGGTGTTTGTTGATAAGCATAGACATGTGTTGAAGGGCTTGTTTCTATGATGTATGACTTGGACTCTATTATTTGACAAAAATAATAAGCACATTCAAATGGAGAACGATGCCTCATTAGCAAAGCTTTGTAGAAACAATATATCAGAACTTCCAATTCCTGCATTAGTATGGAAATACAGGCTGTACATTAACATTTGGCACGAACATCAAATCAGAAGCGACTAGATTTTATTTTCATCAGTTGTTCAATGATTAAGTACTTAATTTTTATTTCACTACCTTAAAGATTCTTGGGTAAACTGAATTAAAACTTTACCTATTGTGAGAGGAACTGTCCATGTTGTGTCATTAAATGCTGAAGCTTCTCTTCCTTTGCCCGTCTACAATGACAAAGCTGTAGAAACAAAGAAAGCTTTAAGGGCGCAAGTGATAATTTAGGTATACCTTCCAAAAAATGTCCACACTCATTGTACATTCTAATGCAACGATGTCTGAAATGAAGTTACTGTCCAACACACAATACTGAAGTTAGTACTAATTTGAAGCACTGTGTCCTACTATTAATCTGTGCCATTTCCAAACAATTTTTACTATATATTTAATTTAGAAGCCATGGGGACACATCAATGCCCTCTCCATTTGACCCATTACCTATTTTGCGTACCCCAATCCCATCAAAACCTCTGACCACCTAATTTTCTCTCCCGTTTCATTGTTAGCTCCTGAGCTGAGCTTCGAAAAATGTTGCCGAGTTTCCCTCTTTCAAAGCCATTGAGTTACGCCACTTCTAAAAGCAGCTCAGCCAATATTAAAAGGAAAATTCAAGAACCTTCATATTCAATTTATAACATGGTCTTGTCCCTCCTACCCTCCAACTGCTTCCAGCCCTACAACTTTTGGAAACATTTTGCATTCCTCCAATTCTGGGTCATTCTTCACCCCACCATTGGCGCCTACACCTTCAGAGATCCAGGGTTCTAAGCTCCGGAATTCTATCCTTAACTGTCTGCCTTACATTCTTAAAACATTTTAAAACCCTTTGATCCGTTCATCACCTATCCCAACACTTCCATTTGGCATTGGATAATGCTCCCATGGAGTTCCCTGGTACATTTTTCTAGATTAAAAACCGTATATAAATACCTGTTGTGACAACATTAGAATCGTACAGTACAGAAGAGGCTTTCAGCCCATCAAGTCTGTACCACCAAAGCTACACTAAATCTATACTAGTCCCACCTGCCTGCACTAGGCCCATTGTTTCAATGTTATGATATTCCAAGTTTTCAACCAAACGGTTTTTAAAGGTCGCGAGGTTTCCTGCCTCAACAACCCTTGTAGGCAGTGCATTCCAGACTCCTCCACACCCTCTGTATGAAGGATTCATTCCTTAACTCCCCTGCCTTGCACCTTAAAATTATGTCCCCTTGTTACTAAGGGGAACAGCCACTTTCTATTCACCCCGTCAATGCCCCTCAATTTTATACACCTGTCAGGTTCCCCCTCAACCTTCTCTGTTCCATAGAAAACAACTTGAGCTGATCCAGACTCTCGTCATAGCTAAAATGCTCTATCGCAGGCAACATCCTGGTGAATCTCCTTTGCACCTCCTCCAGTGGAATCACATTCTTCATAAAGTGCGGAGACCAGAACAGCGCACAGTATCTAGCTGTGGCCTAATCGAAGTCCTTTACAGACAACACAATTACAAACAATTTCCTGGAATTAGTCACTGAAGGACTGATCATGAGGCTAAAAAGCCTTAAATTTATATGATAAAGCTGGTGTCAACCAGATGCTTGAGCGTAAAAGCCATCAGGTGCTGAATTCACTTGAAGGTCGACACATTCTAACATCACCAGATGCAATTCCAAAACAATATTAAGAAACAGTGTGAAGAAAGCTTTTGGTAATGCTTTTGCACAGTTAAAACAATAATTTAACAATTTTAGTTGTGAAGAAGCAAATTAACATAGGTAATTCTTCATGTAAAGTAATTCAAGAAAAATACAATGTTAAATGATTAATTTTTAAATATTAAAACAGGTTCTCCAACAAGAGATAATCCAATCAACGTTCACGTGCAATATCAGTACTGAATTCTCCACTTTCAAACATACCATCAACTGGAAACTGAATTGAACCAGTCGCATAAACACTACAGCTATAAAGTGCACATCAAGGACTAGAAATTTTGCAGCAAGTAACTCACTTCCGGTCTCACCAAAGCCTCTATTCCCCATCAGTGGTAACTGACATAAGGATATAAATGACAACCAAAAAAACATTTCTTCAGTACTTGTTTCTTTAAAATAGGAGTGTGTTCAAAGTATTCATACCAAAAGTAAATACATTTCATTCCAAGCAGTCTGATCACTATGGCATCACAAAGTTGATACATACAGTTCTCTTTTCCATGAAGCTGCTGAGAAAATCATCAATTTCAACCTTGCCCTCAAGGAATTCATCAGCGATCACATCAGATTCTTCTTCTGCTTGATGAGCTGCTACTTTCAATCTGGCCTGCAGGGCACTTAAACTGCAGCTCTAAAAATCCAAAAAAAGAGTTCAGTTATTAAAACTTCACACATACTGAAAGATTATAGGTTGTACCTAGTTTAGTTTAATAACATCTAATTCACGTTTTGAGTTTGCAAATTCTAGGTGACTGCTGCAATTACACTACTCTTTCCTCCTGAGGAGGGGAATTCTACAGATCAATACAGAGAGCATTCAGCATACTAAGCACACATCCACTGATTTTTGTAATATGGCAGATATCGTGTTGTCTGGACATTCAATTGGTCAGAGGTGGAACATTTCATTAACATACTTAAAACAGGCTCCATGCTACAATTGAGAACCTGAATAAAAACTAACTGCAGCTAAGTGGGCCTCCCACAGGTTGGGAATCCCAGTAGTTAAAGGCAGGCAAAAGCTACTGACTCCACAAATGAGCAGTCTTGAGCATTCCTTGCGAGTCCTGAAGATGGGTGCTGCATCCATTCCACAGGGAATCCTTGGCCCCTACCCTTTCAACCATAATTACCCACCTCACTCCATCCCTAAACTCTTCTGATCTTCCACCTTATCCATGGTCCTGATCACACCCTCTATCGCCAGGGATCATCTGAAAACAAAAGGTCCCAGTTTGTAGCCTCTTACCTTTTTCAGTTTGGCCACTAGCTAAGCTTTCAATTTAGCGTCTTGCTGGGTGGAAATGTTACAAAGAAATTGTTCTGCTTTACATTCTATAGGAAATCCATGTTCCCAGTCTTTCTTTATACTTTTGACAATTTACAGCCTTCTCAGCTTCTAGTAAATTATCAGGGCTAATGGATCGGGTCATTTTTATGGAGGGACTAGGTTTAGCTAAAAGAATTATTAACCAAAGCTCCTTGATTTCACACACAATTAGCCATTTTGGATTACTGAAAACAACTCCTCCCTTCCCCCCCACCCCGCCCCCATCATCCAGTTGTAGTTATTTGATTCAGTTAGCAGTTAAGAGTCCACTTGCCAATAATCAGCTCTCTTGTCATTCAGTATAAATATTGGTTTACCTCTTAAATTTGTAATCTTGTGGATTATCTCAATAAATCAAGACAAAATGTTTTGACAAAAAATGTCCTTGGACAGCAATATTATATTTCAGCCAAAGATTATTTGGTTGAAATTTTGAACTGTACAATATTCAGTGAAGCACAAACACAGACCATGACATGCAGGAGCAGTAGTAGGGCATTCAGTTCATAAAGTCTACTCTGCCATTCAATGAGATGATGGATGATCCCTTACTAATTAAAAATCTGTCTAACTCAGCCTAGAATATACTTGACACAGTATCTACAACCCACTGTGGTAAAAAATTCCACAGCTTCACCATCTGCAGAAGAGAAATTCCTTCTCATCTGTGTTAAACTGTAACCTTCTATTTCTCTCACCAAACTGCATAATATTGCATCTCCCATCTGCAAGACCATGTGTTTTATCTTAAGTAGTCTTCTGCTACTTTATAGAATGCTTTTGAAAATTCAAAGGGATTACACCTTCTGGTTCCCCTTTGCCTATCAAGCTTGTGATTTCCACAAAGAATTTTCATAAACTTGTCAGGCATGATTTCCCTCATCATGAAGCCATGCTGACTCTGCTTGATTACATTATGCATTTCTAAATGCTTTATCACAATCTTTATAAAATACCCTCTGATATTTTATTAAATGACAGATGTCACACAGATAGCACTTACCTCACTCAGTTCATGTTGTCTTTGCAATTTTTTCTCAAAATTACTTTTCAGTTGAGTTAGCTGATCATACTGAAAAACAAATAAGTAGTATCACATGCAACATAATGTTTGAAAATATAAAAATGTAAAAAAAAATAACAGCCATCGTCTTACTTTATCTAACAGCTCTTGTCTTTCTGCTTCCAACTTAGGTTCAAGTTGTAGATTTTTTTCTTCCAAGAAGCAAAAACAAGTTTAATGATTCCAAACTCATTAATCAAACAAAATCTTATAGAATGACAACCAGAACTAAACATACTTGCTAGTTCCTCGATGTAATTAATCAGATTGTCTTTGTCTGTGCAGATCTGTTTCAATTGTGGCAAACTGATGAAATGCTCCAGTAGCAGAACCTCGTTCTCATTTAATTCTGTCAATTGTGTTGTACTATAAAACAAGTCAATTCATAAATATCAATAATAAAAATAAAAAATGAAATAAGCATAAACTTTCAATGCAGGTATACAAATATTTCTCAACATAACCAGATAAGTAAATAGAGATTAATTTGTGTATTTTCAATGCTAATTTATAACTTGTCAGCTAAATTTGCTATCTCAGATATAGCAAACACCTTGAATGTTGGAATAATTAAGAACCAATAGACAGCTACTTAAAATTATACAAGTATGAGGATTGATTTTAAGTTGTTCAATTAATCTCGTTTCTTAAATTTTCTGAACTATTGAATGCAATCTATTTTTGTTGTTTAAGTAGCAACTTTTTTTTTCATGCAACAGCTGCTCACACCATCTCTGGACATACGTTTTATTTCTGGTCCTATTACCACTCATCTTCACCTGGCTCAGCCAGAGTTTCAACCCATCAGACTTCCCTTTTGTTCATTCACCCACCTTTTTTTTTAAATAAATTCCTGGAGACCTATTATTTTCCCCAACTTGATAAAAACGCATTAATCCAGACTATTAACACTGTTTCTCTCTTCACAGATATTCCATTGCTTGCTGAGTATTTATTTGGTTCATTAGGTCACTTGCATTACACAGGTTCAATATATTAGCCACTCACACTATTTACTTAAGAATACAGATGTGGTTAATAGTATTTTGAATAGGAAAATTCAAGATTCATGATCACAATACTCAAATTACATGGTGTGTGCATGTGTACCTTAACCATTCTTTATTTGATTGCAGTATAATTTTTGATAATCGTATATTTGCCTGCTACCAAGTGGTAGCAATCAGTCAATATACATGTATGACAAATTTAAACACAAATGCACGCAAGGCGTTTTAATAAAAATAAGTGCATGTACCTAAAAAGGAGTGCTGAGATAGCCATAGTTAGCAATTTCAAATTGTTCAAAAATTAGTGTCAGTGACTTTCAAAATACTCCTGTGTTGTGAACTTCTGTCTTACAATCTGAAAGGCAACACCAGTTACTCAAAGGAAAAACTAGCATTATTGCGAAACATTCATATGCAGGAATGGAGTCAAAATCAAGAGCTGTTTCGGGTGAAGTGGGCTTAAAAGACTGGGACAACCATCCCTGTGCATTCAAATTTAATCCATGCATATGCCACAAAATCACATCAACATTATTTTTAAAATGCAGAAAACCAGATCAATTTGAACAATGTTTCAATGCAGAAGTGAAACTCAGAAACAAATTGCTACCTTTAGGAGTGTACAATTATAACGTAACAGGTTTACATAATCAATACTATTATGAATGGAACCTTATAATTCAAAACAGAAAATTTTGAAGTGGGGATGTAAATCTAAGATTTATTACAAACCAAGAGATACAGATTATACAGCAATAGATATAGATTAATTGAAACAATGTATGTCACAAGTACAATACTCCGACGGACAAGCCCTGCGCATACGCAGGATCTGCACAGATGACGAGGAATATGATGGACGCCCAGAGATAATGAAAGATGTCCTCATAAGAACGGGATACAATGCTCAACTCATTGGTTGCCAGTTCTGACCTGCCACAGCGAAAAACTGCAACAACCTCCCCAGAAGACAGATACAAGATACGACCAATACAGTACCGTTTGTCATCCACTACTTTCCTGGAGCACTATAACTACACTATGTTTTTTGCAGCCTTCAACAAATCATCGATGACCATCTTGCCAAGGTTATCCCTAGACCCCCACTTCTCGCCTTCAAACAACCGCCAAACCTTAAACAGACTATCGTTCGCAGTACACTACCCGCCTTCAGGACATTGACCACAACATCACACAACCCTGCTACAGCAACCTCTGCAAGACATGACAGATTATTGACATGGATACTACCATTACACGTGGGAACACCACCCACTACGTACACGGCAAATATTCATCTGACTTGGCCAATGGTGTCTACCTTATACACTACAGACAAGGATACCCCGAGATATGGTATTTTGGCAAGACCATGCAGACACTACAACAACAGATTAATGGATGCGGCACAACAATCAAATGTTCCCTCCCAGTTGGGGAACATGTCAACAGTCAAGGACATTCAGCCTCCGATCTTCCTCCAAGGCAGCCTCCGAGATACACAACAACGCAGAATTACTGAGCAGAAATCGATAGCCAAATTCCGTACTCATGAAGATGGCCTCAACCGTTATGTTGGGTTTGTGTTGCACTACATGTAACCCCACCATACTGTTCTGTATCTGTAAAATCTTCCTTACTGTCCTGTTTTGACACTATCACCTTGATAACTTGTTATGGTCTCTCTACCTTAATTAGTTTGCACAGTTTTGGATTACTTGTTATTTGGGTTAGACCCTCGGTATGTGGCTCTTACACTTGTTATTCCTTTTCACTTGGTTTGTCTCTAGCACCACCTTTTAAAAAAAAATTTTTGTAACTGTCTCTTTGCCTCATTTAATCAGATTGTAAGTCATCTCCCTTTGCTTGTTATTCAGCTGTTGACACTTTACTCACAAAGTCTGACAGTTTTGATCACCCGCACAAAGTTATTCAGCCTGTCGACACTCCACTGAGACCATTTGTATGATCTTTTGATCTCTCTGCCTATAAATTCTGTGCCTGCGTGTTTCTCTTCACTTCATGTGACAAAGGAGCAGCACTGCAAAAGCTTATGATTTCAAATAAATGTGTGTGTCTGTGTGGCTTCTGAACAAGTACAATATGTTACAAAGAGAGTGGCACAAATCTGGCATACTCAAGTCCTAGCTTCACATGCTCACAACACTATTTGCCACATAGCACTGATGTATCAGTACTGCTTAAATATAACTAAACCACTATTGAATTGGACTACTTTCAAAAAAAGTCAATTCCAGTTAGTAGAATAGGTTGTATTATTACATCCTAAAGTCTATATATCATACCTGAGTTCATTGAGTTCTGCAAAGTGGTCAGGGAGATCTGGCATCTTGTAACTATGACCATTCAAACCTAACTAAAACAGAAAAAAATACATTTACATGCTAATTTTAAGTTGCATGCTTTGAAGATTGTAACAATATTTCTCTACTCTAATACGAGGATATTGGGAACACCACACCTGCAAATATCCCCTCAACACAGCATCCTGATTAGGAACTATATCACTGCTCTTTCAATGGTGCCAGGTCCAAATCTTGGAACACTCCTACAGCACTGCAGGTGTACCAATCATCCTGACAAAGGAAAACTACTAATCGATTTATTTTTATTAGACTTTAAACTTCTGTATAAAATAATTAACATTGACTTCTGTAATGATATAATTTGAGTGTTAAAAATTTAAAATAACTAAAGTACGAGTAGTCTGCTCCAATGGTCATGAACGTACTGGAAAGATACAAGAATAATAAACTATATTAAAGGTTGGAAATAAATTAACTTCTTGCTTCTTATACATACCATAGGACTATAATCAAAGTAGTCTCACAGAAGAATTATTGATTATTTCTGATTTTCACCACTAAACACAGCAGGTTAAAATACCAACTGTTGATGTACTTCTTTGTTTTAAAACTGTTGTTCAGATTGGACGGATCTTAACCACTCTAAAAAGAGTTTCTCTAACAACAAAATTCTTATTAACATTTTTTAAATACCGTGACGTTTAATGTCTTTGCCTGATCGATTTGGATTATTAAATAATTGTTTTTTAAAATGGCTTTAACCAAAACTTATTTTGAACAACTTTTCTTATCTCTACATCTAACAATATAAACAAATATTTTTAAGTCTCCTTCTCAACTAGCTGAACCGTAAACAAAAGGAGACAAAAATGAAGTCACCATTGAGAGCTTTTCCAAAGATTCCAAGACTTATGACCTGATTTCCTGTTCAATCTATAGCCAGGAATAATTAGGAATGTCATTGCCTAGGGGAGGCAATAGCCTAGTAGTATTATTGCTGGACTGTTAATCCAGAGACCCAGATGACATTCTGGGGACTCTGGTTCGAATCCCATCACAGCAGATGGTGGAATTTGAATTCAATAAAATATCTGGAATTAAGAATTTAATGATTACTATATGGATGGGAAATAAATATTGCCATCGACGCCCTCATCCCGTGAATGAATAAAGAAACAAAAAAGAATAAAGACAAAGCGTTTAGTCATATGCTGATTGCCTCAGCACAGACAATACATTTATCATAGAATCCCTACAGTGTGGAAACAGGCCCTTCGGCACAACAAGTCCACACCGACTCTCGGAGCATCCCACCCAGACCCAACCCCCTATAACCCACCTAACCTACACATCCTTGAACACTATCGGCAATTTAGCATGGCCAATCCACCTAGCCTGCACATCTTTGGACTGTGGGAGGAAACCAGAGCACCTGGAGGAAACCCACGCAGACACAGGGAGAACGTGCAAACTCCACACAGACAGTCGCCCGAAGATTATATCGAACCTGGGTCCCGGGCGCTGAGAGGCAGCAGTGCTAACCATTGAGCCACCATGCCACAACAAATTTAGCAAACCAATTTAGGAATAGGAAATTGTGTTTGAGAAATCTGTTAAGAATTCTCTTGAGGATGCAACCAATAGGATGGATAAAAGGATGTAACAGTTAGATTTTTAAAAAGGAGTCACAAAATTTTCTAACATTAGGACTAATTCAACAGAAGATATATTACAATAGACAGAGGTCAATGAACAGGAAACAGAGATTAAGAAAACCAATATTTTAAGGTTGAGGGGAGGCTTTAACTAGCTGGGTACAGCAAGGATCCATGCTTCAGGAATAGCTATTTATGATTTACACTCATGACTTAGAAGAACGTAACATAAGCAACAGCACCTTCCAACGCTGGGATCTCTATTAACTGGAAAAAGGGCAGCAGAGACATAAGAATCCTGGAACATCCTTTCTAACAATACTAATGATATACCTACCCACCAAGGACAGCAACAGTTCACAAGGTGGCTCATCACTGCTTTCTCAAAGGCTGGGATAAACTTGATTTTCTTTGCTCTTGTTTGATTACAAGCTTGATTTATTGCGATTGTTTAAATACAAATTTCTTTTTGCTACAGACTAACTTTGTCGAACTTATGCATTTTTTGGATTGTGTCACGGTACTGTTTCTCTGCCCTATATTGATGATAAGTCTGCATTTAGCGCACATAGAATACAAGGGTCAAAATACTTCTGCACTGACCCCAGACTGTATAAAGCTCACCATAGCTAGAGGAACCAATTGTTGATCACAAAGGTTTTCTGGTTTACCAACAACTGATTTGCTCCCAGGCAGCTCAACTGCCTTCAGACTTCCAAAAAGGAAGCTGCTGTCTTTACCTCCCGCAGCAAAAACACCTAAAACCTGAAGAAAGCCAGTTCCTTTTCTCCTCCCCAGTTGCTGCTAGTTGTGTTCATGAATAAGGCAGATGCTTTATAAGTTGTGAACCAGTCACTCTGTGCCTGCTACAAGTAAATTTAAGTACCTGGAGGGGACAGCGAGAGCGCGAGACAAAAGCAAATCCTGGCATGTCAGAAGTATCACCTCAGCAAATCCTGTGGACAGGCACAAGTGAACTGCGTTCCGAACTGTGTAAGGGGATAAGAGTTTAAACTGAGAATTATATGGTGACGTTCCATAATTGCTCACCTGTGACTAGAACCTACTAATTTGTAATAAATAGCAATCCTTGTTAAAAGCATGCTTTGTCAATCTGCACCTGAAAACAGAAGTAATTTGGGGAATTCTACATACTTAAATAAAATCTTTTGTGACAACTTTGGAAGCAGTGAGGTTTGATTTCAGTGTGCTACACCAGTGAGGTTTATCATTTGATTATGGACATCCGCCTGTCACATTTGGTCTAGCTTTTACAAAACACATTTTCAGATTTAGCAGGATAAGATTAATGTTTGAAATTGGACAAGCTATGTCTGTGGTGAAGTGGGAAGAAATACATAAAAATAGTTTTCTGCTGCACTTCAAAGTAAAAAGCATTGCAAAAGCAGAAGATAATGTTTGATGTTCTAAATACTGAAACCCAGTTTAGATTTACCTGTTCTGAGGAGTCAGCTGTGGGAACTGGTAAAGGCAAATCTGTAATCAATCCATAAGCAGGAGCAGCAGGTCTAGAGCTACTAAAGCCTGGGCCTGTTACTGAATCCGGAAGACAAGGAACAGTAGACTCCTGAGGAAGATATGGTGCCATAAATGGATATCCCTGAGGAGAGTAAGGAGCCATAGCAGCAGGACCACTAAAACGACTGAAACATTTGTAAAGATTAGAAAATTAGAAAATATCAAATGATGTCTTAAATGCCATAATTATTTACAGTTGTGATTAAATACTGAAATACCATCAAAAGTTGGACTGTCTGCATGTGTAGCTTGCAACAATCCAAAAGGCTGGCAATATTTTAAAAAAACTGTTTGGAAAAGTACTCAAATTTCATATGTGAAACTGGAAAAAACATGAAGATTTGGTGTGCCAAACAGGGACTTCAAGAAACATAAAGGAACAGGTGGCTTACTGTAATAAACATCTCTCACATCACATCTGGGTAGAGTAACCAGGGGAGAAATAAGACTATTTCTTTTGGCAAAGGCAGTGTAAAAATAATAATGGATCTTAACCTTCAAATGGACAGGACAGAGCAAACTGGTAGAAGAAGTGGTGGAAGAGTTTGTGGAATGCATTGAGAAAGTTTTATGAAACAATACATCATGAAGCAAACAAGGAAGAGGCTATTTTAGATCTCAACTGACAATGAGAGATTAATTAGTAATCCCATGGCAAACAATCTTCTGGAGAACACTGATCATTATAATGATCTTGTTAGAGAGGCACAAGTACAATACTGTTCCATATTCAATGCAATTAAAGCAAACTACATTGGCATGAGCGGTGAGTTGGCTAGCATAGACTGGGAAATTAGATTTAAAAAATCAACAGTGGCTAAGCAATGAAAATATTTAAAGAGCTAATTCATAAACCTCAAAGGTACAAAGACAAGGAAAAACGATTTCTCCTCAAAAGGAACATTAAAGGAATGCAAGTCAAGAGTTATGGGATGCAAACAGGAAAACATTGCTGAGACCACAAGATCAACTTTGCTACCGAATGGTGCAGCAGGTGGCCTCTCTTTCACTCCAAAATACCATGTTCTGTTGAAGGATAAACTCCATAGAAAAAGTAATCCATCCATTGCTACTTCAAGAGGTTAACAATAATATAGATAGAAGAATAGGTCCACAACGTTGCCAAGAAAAGTATTAAGTCTGAGAATTAAGAGTGTTTTAGAAATCAGCAAAGAATGACCAAAGATTAGAGAGAAGTTGAAAACAACGCAGACGGAGTTTAATCTGGATAAACGTGAGATCCTATAATTTGTTACAGCATAGTTCATAGCTCCTTGAAAGTGGAGTCACAGGTAGACAGGATAGTGGAGAAGGCATTTGGTATGGTTGTCTTTATTGGTCAGTGCATTGAATAAAGGAGTTGGGGCATCATTTTGCAGCTGTACAAGACATTGGTTAGGCCTCTTTTGGAATACTGCATTCTATTCTGGTCTCCCTGCTACAGGAAGGATGTTGTGAAACCTGAGAAGGCTCAGAAAAGATTTACAAGGATGTTACCAGGGTTGGAGGGTTCAAACTTTAGGAAGAGGCTAAATTGATTGGGGCTATTTTCCCTGCAGAGTCAGAGGCTGAGAGGTGGCCTTATAGAAGTTTATAAAATCATAAGGGGCATGGGTAGGGTGAATAGTCAAGGTCTTTCCCTAAGATAGGGGAGTCCGCAACTACAGGTCATAGGTTTAAGGCGAGAGGGGAAAGATATAAAAGGGACATAAGAGGCAATGCTTTCATGCAGAAGGTGGTGTGTGTATGGAATCAACTACCAGAGGAAGCGGTGGAGATTGTTGTAAGTACAACATTTAAAAGGCAGTTGAATCAGTATATGAATAGGAAGGGTTTACGAGGGATGTGGGCCAAATGCTGGCAAATGGGACTGGATTAATTTAAGATATGTGGTCATCATGGGCGAGTTGCACTGAAGGGTCCGTTTCCATGCAGTATATCTCTGTGATTCTAACGCACGAGACTAAACTAACATGAACTATGAAAACAGGTTGTGAAGAGCTTCTGCAAGTATGGTTAAAACAAGAAAGGAGCAAAAGTAATGGTAGGCATCCTAGTAGCTGAGAAGGAAAATTTTAACGGCAGATATTGAACAGATATTGTGTGTCCATCTTCACAGCAGAAGGCTCAAAAACCATGCCAGAAATAACGTCTGTATAGAAAAATGAGAGAAATTAATGGAAACAAAATCCAACAAATCTCCTGGACTTTATAGCCTACAACCTCGAGTTCTCAAAAAGGCATTTGAAAAAATAGGGGATTCACGGACTATAATCACTTGAGAACCTGGAATGGCTCCAGTGGTTTGGAAAGTAGCAAATCTAACAGAAATATTCAAGATAGGAAGAAGGGAGAGAGAAAAAAAAACAGGGAGCTACAGGCCAACTAGTCTTACATTAGTTGCCAAAAAATACTGAAATTCTTTACTATGGAATTGGTAACTGGGCATTTTAAAATATATAGTACTACAATGACACAGCATCAACATGGATAAGGAGTGGATTGCACTTGACTAATCAGTGCTTTTGATGCAACTATTAGGGTAGGTAAAGTGGCACCAATGGACATAACAGCATATAAGATAAAAATTCATGAGGTTGGAATAATTTAAAAGCCCAGATGGAGGATAAACTAGTGGACAGAAACCAGAGTAGGAACATAAAAGCAAATAGAGTAGATATTGGAAGTCTGAAACAAAAATGGAACATGGAAATAATTGGGGCAGTCAGAATCTGAAGAAAAGCAAAGTGTAGTTGATGTGACATCACAACTGTGAAAAATTAGAAACATAGGTGAAATGGCGGTGGTGGGGGTGGGGGGCAAAGAGGAAAATGAACTAAGGAAAGTTCTATGACAAGATATAATATAGAAGAGAGTAAAAAATTGTACAGAGCCAAACTAACTTGTAATGGGAAAAGTAAAGAAAATGGTGCATCTGGAGATGCTGTGAAGGGCAGAATAATGAACAGCTGCCATCTGCTGACAGACTGTTACCCCTGGCTCAAGTGTCCAGGACAAGGAAACATAGCTTCAGTTAAGGGACAGTCACTTCAAATTGAGACAAGCTGAAATTTCCTCACTTGGATGTGAATCAAATGGCAGAATAGGTTTGAACAGCTCATGGCCTACTCCTATCTTTATGTTCTGCTCTTATCAGTAAAATACAATCCTCAACAATTCAACCCCACCCTCCTCTACTCTCACCCAATACCAAAAGCACTTTGAAAAGACTAATTAATATTCTGTTCCAAAAGGACTTGTAGTGAAGAGTAACCATAACATTTTGGAATTTCCCACTAAGTTTGAAAATGATATTGTTCAATCTGAAAGTGTCTCAGATTAAAACTAATTAAAGTATGAGGGGTAAGTTGGCTGTATTGAATTGACAAGTTAAGTTACACGTCTGGTGGTAGTCAGCAATGGCTAGTAATTAAAGAATTAACACATGGCTTACAATGAATATACATTCCTTTAAAGGAACAAAAGCCAAACAAGAAAAGCACACCAACCGAGGGACCTTTAGAATTCAGCATGAGGACGACGAAGAAACTGGAAGAGACTAGAAGATGAAACTAAACAACATAAAACATGAGCAAAGACAGTAAAGCTTCTACAGATATATAAAAAGCAAATAACTAGCAAAGACAAATGGGAGTTCATTTTAAATGATTACTTTGTGTCCACCTTCATGAAGGAAGGCAGAAGAAATATCCTAGCAATCAAAGATCTAAGGGATCCGTGAGAATGAGCAACTGTAGAAAATTAATAACTAAATAACAAAACAACAAAACAAACTAACGGTACTGAAAGTCAACAAATCCCAGAGTGTTTAGAGAGGTGGCTATGGAGATAGTGGATGGATCAGTGATAATACTTTAAAATTCTATAAATTCTGGAACGGTACCTAAGATCAAAAGGTTACAAATAAAAACCCACATTTTAAGAAAGGAGGGAAAAAGAAAACAGAAAATTACACAGACCAATTATTTTGATATCAATAGTACGGAAAATACTAGAATCCATTATAAAGGATGGAATATCTGGACAGATTTGAATGGGCAGAGTCAGCATGGACTAATGAAAGGGATATGAAGGGGTACTGCTGTTCCCAATAGATACCAATGATCTGGATGCAGGAACCAAATGTAACGTGTCCAAGTTTGCAGATGCCGCAAAATTAGGTAGGAACAACACAGAGCCGCATCAAGGGATTTGGACAGAATGAATGGGTGGGCAAGAACCAGGCATAGAATCATAGAATCCCTACAGTGTGGAATAAAAATGTAGACAAGCATGAGGTTACACTTTCATAGAAGGAAAGGAGGTACAAAGCATCTTTTAAGTGAAGAGATTGCTAAGTGTTGATGTTCTAAGGGACATGCATGCTCTTAGCCATACAGCATGTTAAAGCTAACATGCAGATGTAGGATCAGGAAGCTAATTGGCCTTTATCACAAGAGGATTAAAGTATAACAGTAAAGACATCTTGTTCAAATTGTATAGAAATTTGATGAGAATGCACTTGGGAGTACTGTGAACAGTTTTGGTCTCCTTATCTAAGAAAGGACGTATTGCCATGGAGACTGTAGTGAAGCTTTAACAATGGACAGCAGGATTGTCTTACAAGAAGGAATCGAGAAGTCTGAACTTGTAATCTCTAGAGATAAGAGTGTGGAGCTGCAGGCCAGGCAGCATCAGAGGGGCAGGAAAGTTGACGTTTTGGGTCAGGGCCCTTCTTTAAATCTCTAGAGACTTTAGAAGAATTGTGTAACCTCAGAAACTTACAAAATTCGTAAAAAAAAGATTTTCCACCTGTCTGTGAAGTGGGAGTGACTCAAGATGGAGGGGACGGTTTCCAAATAAGGGCAAGCCTTCTGAAACTGAGACAAGGAGGATTTTTCTTCATGCAGAGGATAGTGAATCTTTGGAATTTTCCACCTAGTACAGCTATGGGAGCTCAGTCATTGAGAATGTTGAATACAGGCTCAGATTTCTAGATCCTAATAACAGTACAGGAGATGGAGACTGTGCAGTACAGTTGCACTGATGACCAACTATAACCTCAAAAGGTGGAGCAGATCGAGGAGCTTAATGGCCCACATTTCTATTGCACTGAAGCTTTATCCTAGATTATCCTGTGTTTGAAACCATAGCCTTCTAATGCAAATGCTAGCTTGTTGCTAATGAGTTGAGCTGAAGCGTACATAATAATCATACATACTACGGCAAAGATGCTGAGCTTGAAACCAACACTGGAGGGCTCTTCCAAAATTCTTCGAGGATCGTCTGAATGATTTTTCCAAGGTCTGAATGCATTGCGAACTTCAATATAAGTCAAAAAAAAATTAAATCATTTTAAATAATTAGGAAGCAAATTGAAAAATTTTAAATAATAACTACAAATGCTTCAAAAGAATATAATAGATAAACATGCTGATCTAAAAGTTAGCCAACTGCAAAAAGAAAAAAAGAGACCTAGTCTAGATTGATTTGCACGAAATAACAGGTCAAACAACTGACCAGTATTGATTGATTTTTAATGATTTGGATAATGTACAGATTAAATATATCTTGAG